GATAACATGTATGGCCTGAGTATCAAGCTTAACAAGTTACTCCTTCCACGGCCACACCAGGACTGACTCTATTTGCTGTGATCTTACAGTTTATCCTAAAGCAATTATAATCTAATTCTGATAGGGAAAGTGTCTTCTACTGATCTACAATTAAACCGTGACCAGTTAATGTCTCAATGGTGGAGAGCATGTCCAGCCAATGTTTCACGGCATGATTCTGACACTAAGGTGACCACAATTAAACTATCTGTCTGATAAGCCAGCCGGTCACATTAAGATTTAACACAAATTATGTTCTACACTTGAGTGATAAATTTCACTATTAACACTGGTGTTGTACCTTGGGGGTTAAACATTAGCTGGTGTTGTATCTTGGGTGTTAAACATAAGCTGGTGTTGTACCTTGGGTGTTAAATATAACCTGGTGTTGTACCTTGGGTGTTAAATATAACCTGGTGTTGTACCTTGGGTGTTAAATATAACCTGGTGTTGTACCTTGGGTGTTAAACATAAGTTGGTGTTGTACCATGGGTGTTAAATATAACCTGGTGTTGTACCTTGGGTGTTAAACATAAGTTGGTGTTGTACCTTGGGTGTTAAACATAAGCTGGTGTTGTATCTTGGGTGTTAAATATAAGCTGGTGTTGTACCTTGGGTGTTAAACATAAGCTGGTGTTGTACCTTGGGTGTTTTATATATAAGTTGGTGTTGTACCTTTAGTGTTTTATATATAAGCTGGTGTTGTATCTTGGGTGTTAAACATAAGTTGGTGTTGTATCTTGGGTGTTAAACATAAACTGGTGTTGTACCTTGGGTGTTTTATATATGAACTGGTGTTGTATCTTAGGTGTTAAACATAAGCTGGTTTTATACATTGATTTACAGTCATGCTATGTTCTGTGTTTGAGGACAGGTTTAAACTGTGCTGTATAAGGAGCTGATATACTAGTACACATGTTGGAGTGCCAGAGTTTTAATAATAGGCCTGATATTGAATGTAGTCCTGTGATCAGAATTTAAAAAATTGTCCTTGAAAATTCTGAATGTTAAATGAAATAATGAAATTTTGTGTAAGATGGAAATTTCTGAAAAGTACCGGAATAGGAAATTTGGTGTAGCTCAATATTGTTCATTTTTTTTCAGTTTTTATGTCAAATTTATGTACCGGCCCGGAGGATTAGCTGTTTATTTTGTTATATTGTTTGGGGTAAAATATGGTATATAACAATTTTGTGAGCTATTTTGCTGTGTAGTTTGTAAAGTGCTTGTAGTTCAGTGTTTTGTTCCTGTATTCCTCTGTTTATTCTTTATGGTTGATTACTGAGAAGCCTTGTGATCATGCTGATTGGCTTGTGAATATTTTCTATACTTCCTTCTGTGGGTTTTTATAGTTTCTGCTTGACAAGATATGGAATCAGATGTCATACAATGTAAACTAGAAGAATGGCATTTTACTGTTACTATAGTGTACTGGGTTGAATGGATTAGTTTATGTTCTGACAGAATATCTGATGACATGCTCTGTATACAACTATAATTTTTCTATTGTCCCAGTTTCCTAGTGATTTATAAACAGACGTAAACATAGTGCAGTTGTTATTGTATATCGTTTTGTGTCTAACTGAGATATCAGATAGTAGTCATTCCAGCATTGTTATGTATATCATACCAATATTATCACCATTCTGTTCAATTATGATGTGAAATGTAGAAGTAGGTCTTAGATAATATATTTGATGGAAAAATGTCAAAAGATGCCCATAGGTCAAAGGTCACACATGACCACTGTAGAGATATAAACTTTGTACACAGTTTGACATAAAGCCAGTGAAAGATTTAGTTTATATTCCAATCAAAGCATAACTTTGACCATCGAGTTCTAGACTTGATTACATTTTGGTGGTCCAGGAGCAAGCTTAAAGGTCAAAATTTAGTCTTGACCAATTCCAAAATAAAAAGTTTTAATATCTCTCTGCAGGTTAAGTTCATAATTTACATTGTAACATCACTCCATAAAGTTCAACAATCTATAGTGAATAGCGAAAATAAGAGCTCATTTAGGTAGACCTGTATACTCTCGAATGAAGTTTTGAAGTGTGTGGTTTGATGATTTCTACCTTGAGCAGTCTGTGTCCTAGAAAGGTGAGACAGGAGCTGGTCTGTACTGTCATGTTTGTGTCCTAGGAAGATGAGAAACGGGCTGGTCTGTGTTGTCATGTTTGTGTCCTAGGAAGGTGAGATACAGGTTGGTCTGTGCTGTCATGTTTGTGTCCTAGGAAGGTGAGATACAGGCTCGCCTGTACTGTCATGTTTGTATCCTAGGAAGGTGAGATACAGGCTGGTCTGTGCTGTCATGTTTGTATCCTAGGAAGGTGAAATACAGGCTGATCTGTGCTGTCATGTTTGTGTCTTAGGAAGGTGAGATACAGGCTGGTCTGTGCTGTCATGTTTGTGTCCTATGAAGGTGAGATACCGGTTGTGTCTTAAGAAGGTGAGATACAGGCTTGTCTGTACTGTCATGTTTGTATCCTAGGAAGGTGGGATACAGGCAGGTCTGTGCTGTCATGTTTTTATCTTAGGAAGGTGAGATACAGGCTGGTCTGTGCTGTCATGTTTGTGTCTTAGGAAGGTGAGATACAGGCTCGTCTGTACTGTCATGTTTGTATCCTAGGAATATTAATATAACATATTTCTTTACAAATATGATATCTATTTAATCATGTACAAGAACTTCAGTTGACAAGGACTGCTCTCATAGACACACTGTGGGATAGGGGAGATAACTCGTGGGAAATAGTTTAAATAGATATGGTTCCTCATATCCTGTGATGATAATACACACTAGAAATAATGAACATTATCTATCCTTATCTATGTAGTTTGAATATTCTCAAGGAAACTTGTGATCTGCAAAACTTTCAAACAGACACTTTTAAGTTGTTAAAAAACCCAAAGAATTCCTTTTCAGTCATTCAAAGAAATCTATTTCTTAAAAGATACCACCAAATTCAGGTGAACAGAAAATCAGAAGTACACATTGCATATTTTTGAGTTGATTACAGCCAATGAGTAACTGCTGGTTCATGTGACAAAGTTTGTGTATTACATATTTGACATCTGTCCCTCCATCTGTAAACAAACTTTGTTATCGCCATTTCTTGAGAAGCACTGGATGTATCTTTCTCAAATTGCTTATAGAGGTTCTTCTTGGTCCCTTTTGTTGTGCCTGTTTGAATTTGGAACTGATCAGAAAAACAAATGGCTGACAGGTAGCAATCTTTTTTAAAATGAAGTTTGTTATTGCTATTTCTTGAAAAGAACTGGATGGATCTTTCTTAGATTTCATAAGTAGGTTTCCTTAATTCCTAGTTGTGCCAATTTGATTTTTAGACTGCTCATAAAAACAAAATGACTGACACACGGCCATCTTAGATTTTGACTTTGAAAGTTTGAATGTTTGTTATTTCTTAAGAACTACACTATAGATCAGTCTCAAATTTCATCTGTTTGTTTTTCTTGATCCCTAGTTGTGCCTGTTTGACTCTGCTACTAATCAGAACAAACAAAGTGGCCCATAAGCAGTTATCTTGGATTTTGACTCCAAAATTTTGTTATCATTATTTCTTACTATTCTTAAAAAGTACTGTATTGATCTGTCTCAGATTTCAGGTATAGGTTCCTCTTTGGTCCCTAGTTGTGCCTGTTTGAGTTTGGGATGATCATGAAAAAAATGGCTGACAGCTGTCTTGGATTTTGCCTAGTTTAGATTGTTATCCCTATTTCTTAAGAAGTACTGAATGAATCTCTCTCAAATTTCATATGTGCATTTCCTTTAGTCTCTCCTTTTGCCTGTTTGATTTTGGGATTTATCAGAAAAATCAAATTGGCTTCCAAGTGGTCATTTTGGATTTGGCAGGTAAAGATTATCATCAGAATTTCTGCAAAGGAATGATCAAATGTATTAAGAGCAAAAACAGAGAAGAGTTAAGAACAAAAACAGAGAAGAGTTAAGAGCAAAAATAGAGAAGAGAAGGAAAAAGAAACAAATAAAGGTCAAACAATGGTGGGCACCCAAATCCTTCTGGAATCATTTGTCTGTTTCTTTGATCAACAAGACAGTGAGAACCTTATTAAATCCCCTCAAACTTTGTGAGTTTTAGCTCAACTGCTATAAAAGACCAAGATGAGCTTATGCAGTACTGTGTCATCTGTCATCCATCCATTATTTGTTTTGTATAAATGGTTGATCTCATCCCCTTTGGGTGTTAAAGACAGGCTAAAGAAGGGAACGAGAGCAAATTCTTTAAAATCCTTTTTCTTCTGTAATAATGTCTGGTTTCTATCTTAATTTGGTCTGAGGCATGCTTGGGTGAAGGAAATTCAATTCTATAAATGTTGATCTTGGCCTGGGGTGTGTGGGTTGGGGCCCAACAGGGGAAATTCTTTAAATTCCTTCTACTGCAGGAAGGATTGGATTTCGTCCAAATTAATCATTTCTTTTACTGTAGGAATATCAAGATTCTGTCAAAATTTGCTGTGAAACATCCTAGGGTGAAGAGTTAACAACTTTGTATAAACGGTGGGTCTCGGCCTACTTGAGTAGGAGGGAAAGGCATGAAAGGGAAAATAGCACAAAATCTTTAAAATCCTTCTTCTTATTTAGGGATAAAAATGTGGTCTGAAGCATTCTTGGGTGAAGGAGACTTGTATATTTTTGGTTTGGCTGACCCCATTAGGGAAGAAAGGTTGGAGCTTAAGATACAAAGCATTAGAATTCCTTTAGCTTGGATAAAAGAATTCAGCAAACAAAGCCAGATAAGCAATTTAGGCCCTATTAAACTTTTGTTTAGAGTGGTTAATTACTAATAAAGCCAGGTGATTGATACTAACCCTATTGGCCTCTTTGATCATTTAGTTATATTGTTTATAGAAATTACTGCTGGTGTGTTCAGGGGAGATTAATAATAATAAGTTGTTGTATTGAGTTATTCTATTTACAGAAATTACTGCTGCTGTTTGGTGGAGGCTTTGAACATGATCTGACAGAGTCTTGTTTATGGATCATTAACCCTGGTATGTAATTCAAAATCTATATTTAACTTTCAAATCATCAAAAAGATTAGATCAGGGAAATCTGAATCTTCAAATTTCTGAAGTCTTAAAAAGATTTTTTTAAAAAGTAATGTTGGGTTATTACATGAGCAACACATTGTATTTGGAATCAATAAATTTTGACAAATGAAGCTACAAGTCATTAATATTTTATTATGGTAGATATTAATATAAAAACTACAAATTTTCATGTCAGATCTGCAGCACATTAGGCGCCACTGGGTTGAGACGTATGCCTCCCATCCTGGTGTACGACGCCATCATTCTGCAGTACTGTACAACCATGACATGTATGTCTATGGTGGCCATGTTGACATTAAAGGATCTCAGTCTGACCTCTGGGTTTTCCATACAGGTATGTACAACTTCAGTTAATAATGACCAGGAATATACTCTTGTCAACTCAACATTACAGTGACTAGATTTAATCCCAAGGATATACCTCCCTTCTAAAAATGTATGTAACATCCCGAGGATATACCTCCCTTCACAAAATGTATGTAACATCCCGAGGATATACCTCCCTTCTGAAAATGTATGTAACATCCCGAGGATATGCCTCCCTTCACAAAATGTATGTAACATCCCGAGGATATACCTCCCTTCTAAAAATGTATGTAACATCCCGAGGATATACCTCCCTTCACAAAATGTATGTAACATCCCGAGGATATACCTCCCTTCACAAAATGTATGTAACATCCCGAGGATATACCTCCCTTCACAAAATGTATGTAACATCCTGAGGATATGCCTCCCTTCTGAAAATGTATGTAACATCCCGAGGATATACCTCCCTTCTCAAAATGTATGTAACATCCCGAGGATATACCTCCCTTCTAAAAATGTATGTAACATCCCAAGGATATGCCTCCCTTCTCAAATTGTATATAACATCCGATCATTAATATCATGTGTCTTCATCTCCAGTCATCACAAATCTGGATGAGACACTCCTCAGTCACCAATAATCTGGATAAGACACTTCCAAGCCACCATTATTCTGTAAAAGACACTTCTCAGTCACCTTCAATCTGAATAAGACACTCCTGAGTCACCATTAATCTGGATAAGACACTCCTCTGTCGATGCTAATCTGGATAAGACACTTCCAAGCCACCATGTTTCTGGATAAAACACTTCTCATTCACTATTAATCTGGATGAGACACTCCTCAGTCACCATTATTCTGGATCAGACACTTCCAAGCCACCATTATTCTGTAAAAGACACTTCTCAGTCACCTTCAATCTGAATAAGACACTCCTAAGTCACCATGAATCTGGATAAGACACTCTTCTGTCAATGCTAATCTGGATAAGACACTTCCAAGCCACCATGTTTCTTGATAAAACACTTCTCAGTCACCATTAATCTGGATAAGACACTTCCAAGCCACCATTCTGGATAAAACACTTTTCAGTCACTATTAATCTGGATGAGACACTCCTCAATCAGCAATAATCTAGATTAGACACTCCTAAGTCACCTTCAATCTGAATAAGACACTCCTGAGTCACCAATAATCTGGATAAGACACTCCTGAGTCTCCAATAATCTGGATAAGACACTTCCATGCCACCATTATTCTTGATAAGACACATCTAAGTCTTTTTTAATCTGGATAAGACACTCCTCCATCACCAATAATCTGGATAAGAGACTCCCCAGTCATCATTCATCTGGATAAGACACTTTCAAGCCACCATTATTCTGGATAGGACACTCCTCAGTCACCACTATTCTGGATAAAACACTCCTGAGTGACCATTTTCTGGATGAGTCACTCCTCAGTCACCATTATTCTGGATAAGACACTCCTGAGTCACCATTAATCTGGATAAGACATATCTCAATCACCATTAATCTGGATAAGACACTTCCAAACCACCATTATTCTGGATAAGACATTTCTCAGTCACCATTAATCTGGATAAGACAGTCCTCAGTCACCACTTATCTGGAGAAGACACTTCTCAGTCACCACTAATCTGGATAAGGCACTCCTCAGTCACCATTATTCTGGATAAGACACTCCTGAGTCACCATTAATCTGGATAAGACACACCTGAGTCACCATTATTCTGGATAAGACACTCCTAAGTCACCTTCAATCTGAATAAGACATTTCTCAGTCACCATTAATCTGGATAAGACACTTTTCAATCACCATTATTCTAGATAAGACACTTTAAAACCACCACTATTCTGAATAAGACATTTCTCAGTCACTATTAATCTGGATAAGACACTCCTCCATCACTAATAATCTGGATAATACACTCCCCAGTAATTGGGATAAGACAATATTTATCTGTTAAAAGTCACTTTCCAGTCACCATTTATCAGGTGATGACATTTGTTTGTTCATTTATATTTTTCAAAATCAAATAATTCTTTTGTCATGTAGAAATGTCCAGGTCTATGTTTGATAAACTGTAGTCAAAATAACAAGGTATGCTAGATATAGTATAACATATATGTCCCTTTTGATTTGTTTACAGAGGAGGAAGAATGGGAACAGGTGATCCCTCGTCAGCCCCCGAATACAATTCCTGAGGGTCGACATGGTCACACTGGTGTGGTGTATGGACGTGACATGTGGGTCCTCGGAGGTCTTACTCACCTGAATATACCAAAAACTGACTTCTGGAAATTTAGTTTTCGTAAGTAAATATATACCAGTACTGAATTTGGTGTATGGAGTAAGTATGTAAACATGTACCAGTACATTGTCAGTATGGAGTATGTAAACATGTACCGGTACATTGTCAGTATGGAGTATGTAAACATGTACATTGTCAGTATGGAGTAAGTATGTAAACATGTACCAGTACATTGTCAGTATGGAGTATGTAAACATGTACCAGTACATTGTCAGTATGGAGTAAGTATGTAAACATGTACCAGTACATTGTCAGTATGGAGTATGTAAACATGTACCAGTACATTGTCAGTATGGAGTAAGTATGTAAACATGTACCTGTACATTGTCAGTATTGAGAAAGTATGTAAACATGTACCAGTACATTGTCAGTTTGGAGTAGGTATGTAAACATGTACCAGGACATTGTCAGTATGGAGTAAGTATGTAAACATGTACCAGTACATTGTCAGTATGGAGTATGTAAACATGTACCTGTACATTGTCAGTATGGAGTATGTAAACATGTACCTGTACATTGTCTGTATGGAGTAAGTATGTAAACATGTACCAGTACATTGTCAGTATGGAGTATGTAAACATGTACCAGTACATTGTCAGTATGGAGTAAGTATGTAAACATGTACCAGTACATTGTCAGTATGGAGTATGTAAACATGTACCGGTACATTGTCAGTATGGAGTAAGTATGTAAACATGTACCAGTACATTGTCAGTATGGAGTATGTAAAAATGTACCGGTACATTGTCAGTATGGAGTAAGTATGTAAACATGTACCAGTACATTGTCAGTATGGAGTAAGTATGTAAACATGTACCTGTACATTGTCAGTATGGAGTATGTAAACATGTACATGTACATTGTCAGTATGGAGTAAGTATGTAAACATGTACCAGTACATTGTCAGTATGGAGTAAGTATGTAAACATGTACCAGTACATTATCAGTATGGAGTAAGTATGTAAACATGTACCAGTACATTGTCAGTATGGAGTAAGTATGTAAACATGTACCAGTACATTGTCAGTATGGAGTATGTAAACATGTACCAGTACATTGTCAGTATGGAGTATGTAAACATGTACCGGTACATTGTCAGTATGGAGTATGTAAATATGTACCTGTACATTGTCAGTATGGAGTAAGTATGTAAACATGTACCAGTACATTGTCAGTATGGAGTATGTAAACATGTAACGGTACATTGTCAGTATGGAGTATGTAAACATGAACATGTACATTGTCAGTATGGAGTAAGTATGTAAACATGTACCAGTACAAAAGAGAACAGTGCTTATTGGAACCATTTTACAGTAACAAAAAATAGTGTATTATTGTTTATAAAGCTGCCTCTTCTTAAAGTGACATTAGTGCTAAGATTTTTTATTAATTGGAAACAATATGGAACAGAAATACTATTTGTATATATCTTGTTATTGTCAATATTATATAACTTATATAGGCTAAAAATGTTCATGCTATTTGACTTAAAACAAATATCTTTCAGTGCTTATTATGACCATTTTAAAGTAACAAATAGTGCAATGGATGTGTAAGTGTTGAGTAATGGAGACTATCTAATTTGTGCTATGCTTGTAATGACTTATTCACCTGGATTTACCTGTATTTCACCTGGATTTACCTGTATTTCAAATAAAATGTCTAATGATCATAATTACCTGTTGTTTTCTTTGCCATTACTGGCTTATATACACAATTCCTGTTTGTCCCAAATTATTTTTTACCTGTTTTACCACTTTTGGGACAAACAGGACTACACCAAATAATTGACCTTGACCTATATTCAAGATCTCTTGGATTAAGTGAATTGAGACCTTGAAATTTCTTTTTCAACAAGCTATAGGTTCAGAGTAATGGCATTTATGAAGTAGCATGTCTTAAGAATATGATTTCAAGTTTACAGAAAATGTTTTTATGAACCAACAATATCTTATTTGTAAGCTATAGAGTAGTTGAGCAATTTAGTTCAGGCCTCTTTAATATTTATGTCTTGATAGTCAGATGGCTGTTCAGGCCTTTTGGCCTTTTGTTTTCTAATCATAAACACTGGTTTCTGTTACAGATACTGAAAGATGGGAAAGAATCAAACACAAATATGGACCTCCTCATCTCTTTGGACACTCAGCTTGTGTGGTAAGTCAGTATCAAACACAAATGTGGACCTCCTCATCTCTTTGGTCACTCAGCTTGTGTGGTAAGTCAGTATCAAACACAAATATGGACCTCCTCATCTCTTTGGTCACTCAGCTTGTGTGGTAAGTCAGTATCAAACACAAATATGGACCTCCTCATCTCTTTGGTCACTCAGCTTGTGTGGTAGGTCAGTATCAAACACAAATATGGACCTCCTCATTTCTTTGGTCACTCAGCTTGTGTGGTAAGTCAGTATCAAACACAAATATGGACCTCCTCATCTCTTTGGTCTCTCAGCTTGTGTGGTAAGTCAGTATCAAACACAAATATGGACCTCCTCATTTCTTTGGTCACTCAGCTTGTGTGGTAAGTCAGTATCAAACACAAATATGGACCTCCTCATCTCTTTGGTCACTCAGCTTGTGTGGTAAGTCAGTATCAAACACAAATATGGACCTCCTCATTTCTTTGGTCACTCAGCTTGTGTGGTAAGTCAGTATCAAACACAAATATGGACCTCCTCATCTCTTTGGTCACTCAGCTTGTGTGGTAAGTCAGTATCAAACACAAATATGGACCTCCTCATTTCTTTGGTCACTCAGCTTGTGTGGTAAGTCAGTATCAAACACAGATATGGACCTCCTCATCTCTTTGGTCACTCAGCTTGTGTGGTAAGTCAGTATCAAACACAAATATGGACCTCCTCATCTCTTTGGTCACTCAGCTTGTGTGGTAAGTCAGTATCAAACACACACACACTTAGCTTGTTTTCCTTTTAGGTAAATGGCAACATGATTTATATGTTTTATTTAAAAGACAACATGATTGTTTATGTTTCAGATAAAGACAACATGATTGTTTATGTTTCAGATAAAAGACAACATGATTGTTTTTGGGGGACAGAGTGTTGGATCACTTGTGAACTCTCTGTGGGTATTTAATTTCTGTAAGTAACATCATTATGATCCTCCATATCTATGTGATAGAAGGTGAAGTTCATGCCTATTTCATCATTCAGTTTATAAGGTAAAACATGCTTAAAGTGTTTGATTTATGTTTTGTCAGAAATTTTATCACTACTGAAGTACAAGTATAATGCTTGGAGACATTCATTATCTAAAATTCAAACTTTTATGCCTCTGAAGTACAAATATAGACATTCATTATCAGAAATTCAAATATTTCTTACCATTGATTTATCCATGAGACTGCATACTTGTTATGAGCCTGTAGGAGCCTGGACATTGTACAATATACCAATCTATCACTTTGTCTCTCAAGTACTTAGTCCTCGCCTGTATATTTTGTTCCGTATTCAACCCTATAAGCGCCCCCTCACCCCTTCAGATACCTAAAAGTCTTGATTTACTTATGTTTTAGTCACAATCAAGAAGTGTTTTAAGTTGGTTTATAAGGAGATGTACTCCAGAAAAACGTAAAACAACAGTTAATCTCCAGTCCACCAGCAACAGAGGAATGTCAATAAGTATCCTCTGTATCTACTAACACAATTTTCCGACCATGCCTGATAAAAAAATAGCTGTTTTTGACAGTTCACTTGTAATGTGACCCACTGTTTTCCCTTCTTTCACAACTCTGATTGCAAACAGACTATTATCCTCAATTAGACCATTCACGCACGTGACTTGGTGACATCACAGTGAAAGGTCTTATTACTGTATCAAGGCACTGCCCTATGAATTGTTTCCAACACTCTCTACAAACATGATATCCCCTGACTACAGACGAATATTCATACATAAAAGACATTTTTTTACACATTCCTAAACCATGTGGTAAATGACATTTACTTTGGTATCGTGCGCTCAGCCCAGTAACGACCTAATAGGCTTAGTCCATTACTTAACAGGTAAGATAGCCATTGATACAGCAGATAAAGAAATAATATTTTCATGTGTGATAGATTATCTGACAGAAACAAATGAAGCAGTTAGATATCAAATGACAAATAAAATAGTTTTGCTAAAACAGTATGAATGGAATTTTATATCTTTATCATAAACAAATTCCCTTTCGTGTCATCATATTAAGATGATCTGAAACAATTTATCAACAAGCACATAATGACAGAGTGCACCTTGTTACATAGAGGTTGACACTGAAATTTCTTTCAAATTAAAAGTTGTTGAGTTTGCCAAGGAATTTGGAAACAGCAAAGAATCAAAGCAGTACAGTATAGATAGGAAGCAAATACGCGATTTGAGACAAAAAGAGAGTGAACTGCAAACCTCTTTACAAAACACCTCAAAAAGGAGACGGAAAGTTCCTGGTGGAGGAAGAATTTTTAGTACTGAAAGTGTTTCTTTTACATCTAAGATGGTCTCTAATAAGCGCCCCCCTTAATTGCAATTTTTAAGCGCCCTGGGTGCTTATTGGATCGAATACGGTAGTTATTCCAAAAATTTGTGAAATTTGTGAGATTGAATTTGCATATTTTGGATTTCGCTATAGGTAAATGTGCAAAAGTGTGAAATAAATGTTCTTATTAAAGACAAAAAGCAAGATTGCTTAAATATATTTTATTGTTAAAGACTAAACAAAAAAACATAAAAAACACTGTTATCAACATGAAAAGTGACAAAATTTTTCTTCTAGTAACTAAAGAGAGACAACAAAGAAATGTGATCGGCATTGGTTCGAAGCAGCATTGTTGGATTCATGGGTTTTAGTTTATTGTTAATTTGAGATGTGTCTATCACAGTTTTCCAGCCTGATTTACATCAACATATTACTTTGCCTCAATCTTCATATGTTCAAACTTTATCTCTGTTCTAAAGAGTACTGATCTCCTTTTAAAAAAGCACATCTGCATCTTATCTCCTTATTAAGGTCTGTTCTACCTAATAATGCTAAGCTATAAAAAATATCAATATTGTCTTTGTTTAGGTTCATCCCGTTGGACATGTGTCAATCTACAAGGTCCCATGCCATCTGGTCGTGTCTGGCACTGCGTCATTCCAGTTACTGCCATGACACTTCGCCCTGATCATTCTATTAGAACCAGTTCTGTGCCTTATCTTAAAAACAAAAAGGAAGGAACCAAGCTGAAACGTCCAAAAAGTAGTCCGGCGTATTCCTCCACACGAAACAGAGTCCGTCCAGATTTGAATCAAAACAGTGATAGTAAAGATTTTGTGTCTGCTCAACTTATGACACGCCCCATTAGTCCAGGCTCACGAGATCTGAAATTGCCAATTGTCATGACAACACCTCGTGATAAACAGAAGGAGGACACGTCACCTCTTTTGAACAATCGTCAATTATCTTGTAACAGTGTGACTTCAACAGGCAGTCAGGGAAAAGGGGTTGATAATCCTGCTCTAGAAAGAGAATGTAGCTCAGAAAAAGAATCTGATGTCACAGAAATTTTGGAACTTCATAATTTCCAGGAAATGGAAAGTCCGGAATTTTCAGGTGGGAAAACCTTAGGACAAGGTTCAAAGTGTTTACAAGAAGAGGGAAATGCAGGAGGGATTGAAAGACAGGGTTTACAACATAACCCTCTAGAAATTGCTAAAAATAGATATTCCTCAAGATATGAGGTAAAAGAAAACATGATTCCTGGACAAGTGAAGGACTCTCCTTCCAAGCGATATAAGAAAAAACAGAACCAACGTCAGGGAATATTTGTAGAATTGAAGGAGTTGGGTAAATTTCATAATTTAGCATCTTCACAAGAACTTGTGGTAGAAGACCTAGAATGTGTTGAGCATTGTTTCTCAGAAGTAAGAAACGTTAATTCAGCATCAAAAAATCCATTCTTGGACCAAACTATGAACTGCAAACAAAATGGTGGTAGTTTGTCTAACTTAAATTTCGTAGAAATGAAAACTGTTACGTCTAGTGACAGAAACTTTGTAGGGGATACCTCCGGAGCTGTAGAATCTAGATCTTCATCAATGTCAAATATCTGTGAAACAAGACTAATTGGTGTAAACTTGGATTCTTCACAGCAGAAATCTAGCAGCTTACATGTGATACCTCCCAGGAAAAATGGTATGCAGTGTTGGGAAGCCAAGGATGATAGAACTCTACCTCCATTGTCAGATAGCAAGGACAGTCAGTATAAGGCCAAACAATCTGGCCGTAAGCCAAGTGATAAAAGTCTGGAGACTTCCATCAAACAGGAGGTCAGTTATTATGTTGAAATGGAGGGAGATGTGTTGTTCTAATGCAATCTAATGTTATTCGCCATAACTTAGGACCCTTTTGAAACATCAGTATTGAGCTTGAATTGTAACATTGTCATCCATAGGTGATGTGTTATACACTGGAGTTAGGTGTGACCTGTACCATAACTCACAAGGTCAATGAGCAATCATTTTCTGTGTCATAATTTTTGAACCATAAGAAATATCATGAATGATTTTTACATATACCTGCATCACCCACGGAAATTATGTCACTGAGACTTATATTTCTGAGACTTATATTTCAAGATCAAAGGTCACATAAGTAGGATATATGTAGTACTGTTTAATACAGGGCATAATTGATATTTTGATAGAATTTGAAAAGTAAACGGCAGCTTCTTGTCAAAGGTCAAACATATGGACAAATATAAGTAGATCTGAGTAATATTTTTTATGTGTAAGCTGAATCTTTTTCCACAGGCATGTAAAATACAACTAACTTTCACTTTCAGGGATTACTCATCACACTTAAGTCACTGTAATGTTCTCAACATCAGGAATTACTCATCACACTTAAGTCACTGTAATCTTTTCAACATCAGGAATTACTCATCACACTTAATGTTCTCACCAACAGGAATTACTCATCACACTTAAGTCACTGTAATCTTCTCACCAACAGGAATTACTCGTCACTCTTAATGTTCTCACCAAAGGAATTACTCGTCACACTTAATGTTCTCACCAACAGCAATTACTCGTCACACTTAATGTTCTCATCAACAGGAATTACTCATCACACTTATGTCACTGTAATGTTTTCACCAACAGGAATTACTCGTCACACTTAAGTCACTGTAATCTTCTCAACATCAGGAATTACTCATCACACTTAAGTCACTGTAATCTTCTCAACATCAGGAATTACTCATCACACTTAAGTCACTGTAATCTTCTCAACATCAGGAATTACTCATCACACTTAATGTTCTCACCAACAGGAATTACTCATCACACTTAAGTCACTGTAATCTTCTCACCAACAGGAATTACTCATCACACTTAAGTCACTGTAATCTTTTCAACATCAGGAATTACTCATCACACTTAATGTTCTCACCAACAGGAATTACTCAGCACACTTATGTCACTGTAATGTTCTCACCAACAGGAATTACTCATCACACTTAAGTCACTGTAATCTTCTCAACATCAGGAATTACTCATCACACTTAAGTCACTGTAATGTTCTCACCAACAGGAATTACTCATCACACTTAATGTTCTCACCAACAGTAATTACTCATCACACTTAAGTCACTGTAATGTTCTCACCAACAGTAATTACTCATCACACTTAATGTTCTCCCCAACAGGAATTACTCATCACACTTAATGTTCTCATCAACAGGAATTACTCATCACACTTAATGTTCTCATCAACAGGAATTACTCATCACACTTAAGTCACTGTAATGTTCTCACCAACAGGAATTACTCATCACACTTAATGTTCTCACCAACAGGAATTACTCATCACACTTAAGTCACTGTAATGTTTTCAACATCAGGAATTACTCATCACACTTAATGTTCTCACCAACAGGAATTACTCATCACACTTAAGTCACTGTAATGTTCTCACCAACAGGAATTACTCATCACACTTAAGTCACTGTAATCTTCTCACCAACAGGAATTACTCATCACACTTAAGTCACTGTAATGTTCTCACCAACAGGAATTACTCATCACACTTAATGTTCTCACCAACAGGAATTACTCATCACACTGAAGTCACTGTAATGTTCTCACCAACAGGAATTACTCATCACACTTAATGTTCTCACCAACAGGAATTACTCATCACACTTAAGTCACTGTAATGTTCTCATCAACAGGAATTACTCATCACACTTAAGTCACTGTAATCATCAACAGGAATTACTCATCACACTTAAGTCACTGTAATGTTCTCACCAACAGGAATTACTCATCACACTTAAGTCACATGTTCTCAACCAACAGGAATTACTCATCACACTTAATGTTCTCACCAACAGGAATTACTCATCACACTTAATGTTCTCACCAACAGGAATTACTCATCACACTTAAGTCAATGTAATGTTCTCAACATCAGGAATTACTCATCACACTTAAGTCACTGTAATCTTCTCAACATCAGGAATTACTCATCACACTTAATGTTCTCACCAACAGGAATTACTCATCACACTTAAGTCACTGTAATGTTTTCAACATCAGGAATTACTCATCACACTTAAGTCACTTTAAACTTCTCAACATCAGGAATTACTCATCACACTTAAGTCACTGTAGTCTTCTCAACATCAGGAATTACTCATCACACTTAATGTTCTCACCAACAGGAATTACTCATCACACTTAAGTCACTGTAATGTTCTCAACATCAGGAAATACTCATCACACTTAATGTTCTCATCAACAGGAATTACTCATCACACTTATGTCACTGTAATGTTTTCACCAACAGGAATTACTCGTCACACTTAAGTCACTGTAATCTTCTCAACATCAGGAATTACTCATCACACTTAAGTCACTGTAATCTTCTCAACATCAGGAATTACTCATCACACTTAATGTTCTCACCAACAGGAATTACTCATCACACTTAAGTCACTGTAATGTTCTCACCAACAGCAATTACTCGTCACACTTAATGTTCTCATCAACAGGAATTACTCATCACACTTATGTCACTGTAATGTTTTCACCAACAGGAATTACTCGTCACACTTAAGTCACTGTAATCTTCTCAACATCAGGAATTACTCATCACACTTAAGTCACTGTAATGTTCTCACCAACAGGAATTACTCATCACACTTAATGTTCTCACCATCAGGAATTACTCATCACACTTAAGTCACTGTAATATTCGCACCAACGGGAATTACTCATCACACTTAAGTCAATGTAATGTTTTCAACATCAGGAATTACTCATCACACTTAAGTCACTGTAATCTTCTCACCAACAGGAATTACTCATCACACTTAAGTCACTGTAATGTTCTCACCAACAGGAATTACTCATCACACTTAAGTCACTGTAATGTTCTCACCAACAGGAATTACTCATCACACTTAAGTCACTGTAATGTTCTCAACATCAGGAATTACTCATCACACACTTCTCACCAACAGGAATTACTCATCACACTTAAGTCACTGTAATCTCACCAACAGGAATTACTCATCACACTTAAGTCACTGTAATGTTCTCACCAACAGGAATTACTCATCACACTTAAGTCACTGTAATCTTCTCACCAACAGGAATTACTCATCACACTTACTTCACTTTAATGTTCTCATCAACAGGAATTACTCATCACACTTAAGTCACTTTAATGTTCTCACCAACAGGAATTACTCATCACATTTAAGTCACTGTAATGTTCTCATCAACAGGAATTACTCATCACACTTAAGTCACTGTAATGTTCTCAACATCAGGAATTAGTCATCACACTTAATGTTCTCACCAACAGGAATTACTCATCACACTTAAGTCACTGTAATGTTCTCACCAACAGGAATTACTCATCACACTTAAGTCACTGTAATGTTCTCAACATCAGGAATTACTCATCACACTTAAGTCACTGTAATGTTCTCACCAACAGGAATTACTCATCACACTTAAGTCACTGTAATGTTCTCACCAACAGGAATTACTCATCACACTTAATGTTCTCACCATCAGGAATTACTCATCACACTTAAATGTTCTCACCAACAGGAATTACTCATCACACTTAATGTTCTCACCAACAGGAATTACTCATCACACTTAATGTTCTCACCAACAGGAATTACTCATCACACTTAATGTTCTCACCAACAGGAATTACTCATCACACTTATGTCAATGTACTGTTCTCATCAACAGGAATTACTCATCACACTTAATGTTCTCACCAACAGGAATTACTCATCATCACACTTAATGTTCTCACCAACAGGAATCATCACACTTAAGTCACACTTAAGGAATTACTCATCACACTGTAATGTTCTCACCAACAGGAATTACTCATCACACTTAAGTCACTGTAATGTTCTCACCAACAGGAATTACTCATCACACTTAAGTCACTGTAATGTTCTCACCAACAGGTAATGTTCTCACCAACAGGAATTACTCATCACACTTAAGTCACTGTAATGTTCTCATCACAACAGGAATTACTCATCACACTGTAATGTTCTCACAACAGGAATTACTCATCACACACTGTAATGTTCTCAACATCAGGAATTACTCATCACATCACACAGGAATTACTCATCACACTTAATGTTCTCACCAACAGGAATTACTCATCACACTTAAGTCACTGTAATGTTCTCACCAACAGGAATTACTCATCACACTTAATGTTCTCACCAACAGGAATTACTCATCACACTTAAGTCACTGTAATCTTCTCACCAACGGGAATTACTCATCACACTTAAGTCACTGTAATGTTCTCAACATCAGGAATTAGTCATCACACTTAATGTTCTCACCAACAGGAATTACTCATCACACTTAAGTCACTGTAATGTTCTCACCAACAGGAATTACTCATCACACTTAATGTTCTCACCAACAGGAATTACTCATCACACTTAAGTCACTGTAATGTTATCACCAAGAGCAATTACTCGTCACACTTAATGTTCTCATCAACAGGAATTACTCATCACACTTAAGTCAATGTAATCTTCTCAACATCAGGAATTACTCATCACACTTAAGTCACTGTAATGTTTTCACCAACAGGAATGTTCTCACCAACAGGAATTACTCATCACACTTAAGTCACTGTAATGTTCTCACCAACAGGAATTACTCATCACACACACTGTAATGTTCTCACCAACAGGAATTACTCATCACACTTAAGTCACTGTAATGTTCTCATCAACAGGAATTACTCATCACACTTAAGTCACTGTAATGTTCTCACCAACAGGAATTACTCATCACACTTAAGTCAC